GGTGATGACTAGCTGCCTTCCCTCTAGTCTTATACTGCTAAATTAGGGACGGCTAGCGCAGATAGCCCTCGTGTAGCTTTGCGCGAAATTCAAAACAAACAAATTAAAACAAATCTATTCAGTCTCGCCTAACTAAACATTTACTGTAGCGTCACGAAGGCACTCGTTATTATTGCTCACAAGCGTCGCGATCGTCAGAAACCGGGATCCAAGTCAAATAGTTTCAGAGCATAACGTTTACAGAACAGTATTTGCAAAAACACTTGAAGTTAAAAGTTTTCCTCAAGTTCTTCTGAATGCGGAACCAGAAGCCAATTCACTGCCATTTCAATAGATTTTTGTTTTGTTTTGTCGAACGAGACTGTCGCAATAATGCTTTTCAACCATTCTTTTGATGCACGCAGTTGTTCTATTTGAAAAGCATCGTATTTAGTGCCAGGTAATATTGTAATTAGTGTGTTATACATAATTTGATCTGAGGCACTTCTGGCATTCAGACGTATTAACATAAAAGTATTGACTAAAACCCAAGCACACGCTTTTGAATGCTGTGGTTTTCTATAATTCATTAGAGTTATTCACAGAGTAGTTTCAGTGTACATGCTCTAATTATATCACAGCTCCATCTAACGATTTCTTTCTCAACTATTCCGTGTTATATAGCAATTTATATAGCAAGGTTAAAGTGATGCGCTGAAAATATTACAGCTCTACAAAACGTTGTGTTTCTGAACTGTGCAAGGGAGTTCTTCACAACATGGCTCAAGTGCACATGCGTCAATTATATCGTAGCTCTACCTAACGTTGTGTTCCTGAACTACGCTTTTGAGTTATTCGCAACATGGTTAAAGTGCACATGCGCTAATGATATCTCGGCTGTATCTATTCAGTACATCTGCTGTAGCTCTAGGCCCCTCCCAACAAGTTTTTTGGGGGAAAATGCATTGAACTTCAGTAATTTATTCCATGTATTTACTTAAAATAAAACCCCTTGATTAAGTAGATTGATGTATATTATGAATAAATATTAGTGTGATTTGTTTTTGAGCCGGAAAGTTTTAAGCTATGCCATCAACGTTTAGAGCTACATAAATAAAGGCCTCAAATACAATTAAAAACACACACACACTTTAAAACATAAATGTGTTGATGTACACTCTTTGCATCTCGACATTAACTTAAATTTTATCTACTGGCCTGGTAGTCAGGGCATTCGACTGCAATCTGCGAATCGCTGGTTCGAATCCGCGTCTACTCGCCCTTTCAGCCGTGGGAACGTTATAATGTGATGGTCAATCCCACTATTGTTTGATAAAAGAGTAACCCAAGAGTTGGTGATGACTAGCTGCCTTCCCTCTAGTCTATCACTGCTAAATTTTACGCGAAATTCAACAAATAAAAGAACCCTTATCTCCTATACAATCTCAAGGGATTCTATTTTGCTAATATATATATAATTTCATTGTGTTGTAATAATGATAATGTGCTCTTTGTATTATGCCAACTGCGGGTATCGAAGCCCAATTTTTAACGTTATAAGCCCACAGAATTACACTTCTTAATGATATGATAATTCCTCTAAAAATATATATTCTGAGTCTTTCCCCCAAATAAAAAAAATCCACTAGTAGTTAAGGGCAGAGCAAATAAATTTCGCAACCTAAAAAAACAGTTGTTCGAATTCACGATTTTTAGTTATACGATTGTTTTATTTGTAATTAAGCACAAAGCTACACAATGGGCTATCTCTGCTCTGCCCATCACGGGTATCGAAACCCGGATTCTAGCGGTATAAGTCCGCAGACATATCGCTGTGCCACTAGGGGGGGACAAACTCACATGTATGTTTGTAGTTAGTCACAAAGCTACACAATGGGCTATCTATGCTCTGCTCACCACGCATATCGAAACCCGGATTCTAGCTGTATAAGTCCGCAGACATTATCGCTGTGGCATTGGGGGGGCCATATTTAAAATAAAACAAACTCTCTGGCATAGTAAACTGGACTTACAGTTTAATATCGCCGTCGTATTTTGGCCAAGTACTTATTGCAATATCGTTGTAATTCAGCCAAACAAACGTATGTCGTGTGCAAACAGGAAAATCAATACTGGATTTAGTCGTGACGTCAAATAACCAACCGAATATCCTTGAACGAGTTGTCTATGTAAATTTACGTAGTTGATGTAATTTTCCACTCTTTTAAACAGCATAACATTGTCTCTTTTAAATTGTTCAGGTTGTTTGTGCGTAAATACCAAGAGCACTAATATATATATATATATACATAAGTTTTACTTGATACTCCTTATATGTGACTGAGACGCCAAATTTATATAACTTGTAACTATCTATAGGATATCACTGTACCTTACTTAATACCAAAACATTACTGGATATGTTCTCTTAAACTATTTTCCTTATAAAATATTTCATTTTTGTCTTTACCCACACTTAGATGACGTAAAACAGGTTGTAAATCTTCTTTTTTGGCGTGACTTTTCCTTGTATTTTTGACCTTGATAACTACTGGGGGAAGTTACCCCTTTCCTTTGAATATTTTATTGAAGTTCAAAAGATTAGAATCTATTGGAATAATTATATGAAAGAAAACATGTACCTAGTGTCACTTAGGGATGCAGCCAGTGATTAATTCAAACATCAGGACGTAATGAGCTTGAGTACCTGATATTACCTTGAGTACCTAATGTCACTTAGAGATGCAGAAAGTGATTAACTCATACATCAGGACGTAGTGGGCTTGAGTACCTAGTGTCACTTAGGGATGCAGTAAGTGACTGACTCAAACATCACGACGTAATGAGCTTGAGTACCTAGTGTCACTTAGAGATGCAGAAAGTGATTAACTCATTCATCAGGACGTAGTGGGCTTGAGTACCTAGTGTCACTTAGGGATGCAGCAAGTGATTAACTCAAACACCACAACGTAGTGAGCTTGAGAACCTAGTGTCACTTAGGGATGCAGCAAGTGATTAACTCAAACACCACAACGTAGTGAGCTTGAGAACCTAGTGTCACTTAGGGATGCAGCAAGTGATTAACTCAAACACCACAACGTAGTGGGCTTGAGTACCTAGTGTCACTTAGGGATGCAGCAAGTGATTAACTCAAACACCACAACGTAGTGAGCTTGAGAACCTAGTGTCACTTAGGGATGCAGCAAGTGATTAACTCATACATCAGGATGTAGTGGGCTCGAGTACCTAGTGTCACTTAGGGATGTAGTGAGAGATTGACTCAAACGTCAGGAAGTATTGGGTTTGAGTATCTAGAGTCGCTTTCGATACAATATTTTGTCAATCAAGGTATGCTTTATTAAATCGACTGAATTAAAGTTTTGAAAAATAAGTTAGTCCATGGTAATAAGTCAGTCCATGAAAGACATTTTACCAAATACTTACCACTTAGTGCAGAATAAGACTCAGAAAATGAAACAATCGATACAGTTTTAACATATATATATATTTGTTATTTTGTAAAACTATGCCTGATTTTGAAGTTATCTAGAGTCTTACATATATTGGTAACTAATGTCCATTTGAGGTTTCAAAAAATATTTATGTTTTATGTCGACACATTATATAAATCCATGAAAATCTACACTATATGCGCTGACAGTTTTGATGTACACAAAACTTTTGCTTACGTCACTATTCAATGCGGTAACTTCAAATAACTCGTAGATCAGTTGCTCTATTCACTTTAGAACTATATTTCATCAACGCATCATTGTCGCAGCATTATACACTACGTTGCTGACCATAGATTTACAAATAAACACATCTATACCTGAAACTATAGCATCGTCCTGTTACAAAACCCGATTGTGGTTTCATTTGTAATGTAATTAGTGTAACAATAGTTTACGTTCAGTTTTAGCGCTACTTCTCGGTACTTATAAACATTTTCAGACATAACTTTCGAATCGGACGTATAGTTCATGTAATTATGTCTCAAGAATCTTTATTTTAGTCCAAAAGGTAAACATTTAGGCCTAATATATTTTTAATACACATATATGGCGAACAGTTCCATATATGTATTCACATTTTCATTAGTTTTGCTAAATCCTCGAAATCATTACACATAAATACCCTATTAACGCTTGTCGTAGCAGATATATATATATCTGTTCTGACATATTTTTATTAATTCCAAAACAGCGCGTGAAGCTGTACGTCACTGTAGTTCCGTCTACCGCTCATGTTTTGTTTTTTACTAATAAAGCAATGCTTCGTTGATAACAACATTTGCACTATTAAGTTTCCAGTTTATTCACTTGTTAGGTAAGCATGTGTTCTGGCAGTTGACAGAAGCGAGGTCGAGTCCACTTTCTTATACTTTTACATTAAAATAAAAACTGTGTTCAAGGACGTCCAAAGTGAAACAAACCCTGGAGGTAGAGTTGAGAACTAGATACTGAGTCTGCGTTGAAGAAGGTATTATTCTGTGACATTTCAGCTCTGTTCTCTTTGTGTATTGAACATAAGGAGCGAGCACTGTTGCTGAGATTTCGTTTTTACTGAGTCCCACAAAAATTATGCATCGCTGTTTAAGAGTAACTATTGTTAACTTTGTTCTGGTGTTCTTTTGTACTCATGTTTTGTTAGGCGGTAAAGTTAAGGAGTCGGTAAATACAAAATTATTAGTTACGATAGAAGGTGATTTTGAAAAAGAAGTATCATCTAACAATAAAAACGGAAATTCATCGAGCAACACGACTGAAGGACTTCAGCACATAACGACAGATCTTTTCTACGCTACAACCCCAACAACGACCAAACAACTTAATGCGAACACCACAGACCTTTTCTACGTTACAACTCCAACAACGACCACACAACTTAATGCGAAAACTACAGATCTTTTCTACGCTACAACTCCAACAACGACCAAACAACTTAATGCAACAACCACGGATCTTCCTTACGCTACAACTCCAACAACGACCAAACAACTTAATGCGAAAACCACAGATCTTTTCTACGCTACAACCCCAACAACGACCAAACAACTTAATGCAACAGCCACGGATCTTCCTTACGCTACAACTCCAACAACGACCAAACAACTTAATGCGAAAACCACAGATCTTTTCTACGTTACAACTCCAACAACGACCAAACAACTTAATGCAACAGCCACGGATCTTCCTTACGCTACAACTCCAACAGCAAAATCTAGAACCGTCACAGAGAAAGCAATGGAAACGACCACGAAATATCCCGGCCCACAGTGGTCAGACATAGAAAAAAATGTCAAGAATTTGATTAGCACGTCTATGAAACAGCTCTTACCAAATATGATACGTACAACTTCCAGCGCTAACCTATCAGGTTCCTGTTATGCTAGTATGTTGAAAATGTTCTTAGGTTTTCGAAGCTTGAAAGCTTGGGCATTTAGAAGTAAGTATGTTTCAGGAAATTTTGTTATTTTCACGCGGTTAGTTAATAAACGATAAAGTTATCTATCTACCAGCAATATTTTGAAGTATTGAGGCATTACTAGAAATATCAAATTATCTAATAAAACACGTTTTCAAAATCTTTTACGTTCAAGCTTGTGAAGAACAAGTCATTCTAATGACACGTGAATTACTAATTTGCATATTCAAAATATTTCTAATATAACATACTTGACTATTTGTATACCTATTTACTGATTAATTTATGTACGTCCACCAGTGGAGCCCCCCAGTGGCACAGCGGTATGTCTGCGGACTTACAACGCTAGAAACCGGGTTTCGATAC